CCTACTTGTGGATGGAATACTTAATGGCGTATACGACACATTTTAGTGGGATTTTATTTATTTATTATATTTTATTTTTTATTTTTTTTTATTTTTTTTTTTTTTGGGGGGGGGGGGGGTGTAGTATTGGATGCAATTCTGCGTTTTCTTGCTGTGCGCTTTAATTGGGCGTGAGTGAACGTTTACTCTATGAAGTGTGTGACCTCGGTCAGTTAGTGTGACCTCGATCAGTTACTGTGACCTCGGTCACTTAGTGTGACCTCGATCAGTTAGTCTGCCTCGCCAGCCTTATGCGATCTTAAGCAACTGTTTCCCACGAGTTCGTTCGTGGTCGATGTCCATGGATTTGAGAGACATTCGGGCAAATTTTCGAAGCGTGTTTCTGTCCACCAAGATGAGCTTCTTCCCTCTTGGAGAGTTCACCGTACATTCGTTGTCGCGGCAGTCCCGCTGTCTGGCATTCTCTGTCCAGCCCGCCCGCCCTGATCTTCTTTGTGAGAGCGTGTGGATGCTGACAATGCCAGCTTGTTGAAGCACTTTCAGTGACTTTGTCCTGCCACAGTATGTCACTCTAAACTGCATTCTTTTTTTTTTTCTTAACTAAACCATTCATTGACAAGCCTAGATTAAGAGCATTGGGTCGGGACCAAGAATCTATAATCTTTAGAGCACGGCGCACACGAAATGGTTTGATCAAAGCTTTGTTTGCAAAGGGGGGAGGGGGGGTTCACACCTCCCTTTCGCAGGGGTCGCCTAAGACACTCGGAAAGCACATATACTCTACAGTTCGCAATTAGAAAGGAAATTATTTTATGTTTGGGGTCACTACAACATGAGGAAAGAGTATTAAAGGGTCATGGCATTGGGAAGGTTCAGAACCACTGCTCTATTAGAGAGTCATGCAGCAAGGAGCTAATCTCTTACGTGTGCGCATTGCGCCATGGGCACGCGACTTTCAGGTCGAGGCAGAGCGTGTACGTCTTGGAATGTGAGGGTCAACACGTTAGGCGTAAGTTATTTGTTGTCAAGTTATGTTGTTGTTGTTGTTTTTTTTGTTTTTTTTATGAATGTGTTTAATGGCTTACTTACCTACTGCTTGCACTTGCAGAGGTCATTTTACTAATTTTAGTTACCGTCTTTGGGCGTCAAATCACACCAAAACGGTATCAGTGGGAAGAGTCGGTGGTGTTACAGTTGAATTGTTCTTTGTGCTTGCGCTGAGAAAAAGACAATTATTTCAATAAAGTTTTCACATAATCAGCAAAGAAGAAGATCAGGCGGCGGCAGGATACGTTATAAGTGATGGTAGTGCATCAACATATTATATAAACCCCATCATTGTAAACAAATGTTTCAATGACTTCCACATGGCGAACAGCGTGGTTGCTCGGTGGCGTAGGAATGGTGGGTCACATTTTTTCTCTATTTTGAGGGGCGGCATTTTCGGCCAACTAAAGAGTTCTTCCATAGAAAAAAAAAAGGGGGGGGGTGGGGGTGGGGGTGGCAAAGTCTTGGTCCACCCCTAGCAAAAATTACCTTTGCTATGCCACTGTGTGTGCCCCCTTTACCCTGTCCCTTTCAGTACGGTCCTGCGTATATTATTATTGTTTTAAAAGGACGTTATAAAATAGTTTTAAATACTTTTGAAAAAAAAATGCTTTAACAAAAATGTACTCAAAGTATAATTAATGTCACACAAAACTTCAGAATTGTTACAGTCATTTTACTGAAGACGCGGGGCGCCCATGAGCTCAATGTTCTTTGCAAATGACAAAGACACGCACGCAACGGTATCGCCAACTTCATTCCGCTAGTCAAGAATGTGAGCATACAACAGTAATGGAGGGCAGTTATGAGAACTCATATTTTCACAATTAAAAAAAAATCTGCGTCATAACTACTGTCACAAAACACATCAATGTTCTTTGCAAATGACAAAGACACGCACGCAACGGTATCGCCAATTTCATTCCGCTAATCAGCTCGCAGCAATGCAGGCGTATACTTGTGTCCAACACTGTGCTCGTCAAGTCATACGATATCATCATCATCGTATTTCATAGGCGCCTTTTAACACTTTTTTAAAAAAAATCTTTTGACTGTAACTCTGAAGTTCTGAAGTTTGTTGTTGGGTTTTTTTTTGGTTTTTTTTTTTTTTGGTTGGGGGCTTTTTTTTTTTATTCTTATTACCGGTACATTTTTGGAAAAGCGTACTTTTAGTACCGGTACATTGTTGGAAAAGATTGGAAAAGCGTACTTTCAGTACCGGTACATTGTTGGAAAAGCGTACTTTCAGTACCGGTACATTGTTGGAAAAGCGTACTTTCAGTACCGGTACATTGTTGGAAAAGCGTACTTTCAGTACCGGTACATTGTTGGAAAAGCGTACTTTCAGTACCGGTACATTGTTGGAAAAGCGTACTTTCAGTACCGGTACATTGTTGGAAAAGCGTACTTTCAGTACCGGTATATTGTTGGAAAAGCGTACTTTTAGTACCGGTACATTGTTGGAAAAGCGTTCTTTTAGTACCGGTACATTGTTGGAAAAGCGTACTTTTAGTACCGGTATATTGTTGGAAAAGCGTACTTTTAGTACCGGTACATTGTTGGAAAAGCGTACTTTTAGTACCGGTACATTGTTGGAAAAGCGTACTTTTAGTACCGGTACATTGTTGGAAAAGCGTGTTTTTTTGTTGTTTTTTTTGCTTTTTTTAATTATTGGGTTGAAATACGTGACTGAAAAAAGAGGCGAGTGGCGCCCATGAAATACAAACACGCAAGAGGTCACTGTGACCAATCTGTGGTAAACATTGAGTTTGTCATCGATTGTTATGGGGAACGAGTAAGCAGGCATAAGGAAACACTGAAGTAAACATCCAATGTCTCTATCACTTTCCGTTCCTCGGTTATCCTAAGAAGGTCACTCAAGGGTCAGGGGAGGTCACTGGTGGGGTGACCTACTGATGGGGAGAGCTTTTTTTGTTCTTTTTTTTTGTTGTTTTTTTTTTTTTGGTCATCGGAGGTGGGTAAGTTTACAAAGTTTCAGCTCAAATGGACCTCTGGAAGTTGGTCAAAATTGTGATGCAAGATTCCACCACAAACAAAGAACTTGACACAGCAGCCCATTGAATGGCATATAAAAACAAAAGGACTGAATGATTGAATTTCAGATTGATTTGTGTCCCATTATTGCCGTCGTTTGTGCTGGGTTGGATGTACCATTTTGTATCTTCACTTTTTAAAATTTGAGAGTACAGCTATTTTTTTGTTTAAAAACTTTTTTTTTTACAACAAAATTGTTCTTTAATCATGGACAACAAAACCAAAAAAAAAAAAAAATAAAGATTTTGAAGCTTATTTAAGTCTAATCTTCCCTAATCTATAAATGACAAAAATTGAACTTTTGAGAAGGTGAAAGGCACCACAGGTTCAAGTTCTGACAAGTTTTCTTTCTTTCTTTTGATGAAGAACAAAGATGAACAAATGCGATTTCCATTTCAATGTCCCTCAAAATCTCACAAAGAGATGAAAGCACATCAGAGCTTTAGAAAATTGCAAAAAAGTTCTTGAGATTAAAAAGTGCATTTTATTTGGATTATTTTCTAGCTGGAAGCCCTGGAATATTAAATGATCATAGACTTTTTTAATCCCCAAGCCAAGGATAAGACTTCTGTCATTCTCAGCCTATCCAATAATCACCACGAATCAAAATAACCAATGTCATTTTATCATGAAGATTGATAACAGAGGATATGAGTCCAGTACACTTATTTAATATTATTCTTTAGAGCATGGCGCACATGAAATGGTTTGATCAAAGCTTTGTTTGCAGGTGCAGCCAAACTCTACCAGCTCACTAACACTCTTGATGGTCAAGTGAAACCAATAAAGTGATAAGCTTCATATTCAAGTGCCATGTTGGGGAAAGCTGGGGGCAGACAGTTCACCGTCGACCAAGACTGAGAGGGATTGACGATGTACACCAGTTGGGGGGTTTTTACATGGAGGAGGAAAGCCATGGATCAATCCGAATGGACGGTTGAGGTGGAGAAGACCAGGGATCTAAATGGGCTGTAGTAAGGTGTGAAAGGCCAGGGCCCTATGATGATGATGATGACCAGGTGAAAAGATTTAATGCTTCAAGTTTCTTTCATTCTTTTTTTTTTCAACAATTTAAATCATTTTTATAGACCCAAGTTTGTCACCAGACAGGTATTTCTTATCTCACTTAACAGCATGATTTTCAATTTATTACTTTTTTAAAATGCACAGCCTATGGAAAAAAAATGTAATGAAGTAACCACTCATCTATAAAAATGACACACTCAATAAAATATGCCTTTACTTATGCTGTTTTAGGGATATATATTTATTAATAAAACATATGAATGTATTACACAAATTTATCTCTAAAAACACTCTATGTTATTAAGGTTTTTTTTTTAAAGAGAGATGTTTACATTGTATAAGAAAATGCTAAAAAAAACAAACATCACTTGCTTTTAAGTTTAAAATAAAAAGTTTATTATTTATTATTTGTACACAGCCTGAGTTTTTACTTACAGCAGAAATAACACAACAAAACTTGATACTGATATGAATGAATGGTTACACTATAAGCACTACTCCCCCATAGACAGCGACGAGGCCATGACAGGCAATTCAGGCTCATACCAGCAAGAAGTCAGTATAGGAGCTGCTCATTCCTGCCCAAGACAATCAGGGACTGGAACCATCTTTCAAAAGGAACAGTTGAGGCGACAACACTAGACACATTTGTGTCTATTGCCTCAAGCCTTCAAACCCCTAGTGCATAATTTCCTCATCACCACCAGTAACAGAAACATTGCAAATCCCATCTACATGCATAGGAGCCAAAATGATCAATAAATTGATCGTGGGCCCTTAAGATATAGAAGAAGAAGAAGATATTTATTAGTGATTACAATATAATAAGCAAATCACTATATATATATATATATATATATATATATATATAAGCTGTATGATAAAAGAAAGCCTGATGTTTGTAAACTTGAACATTTAAAAATCAGGTAGCAAAACAAATGACTAGCTGTCATCTAAGACATTTCCCTACAACATGTGTAATCAAGAAAGAGAGAAATAATTCAGTCACAAATTTATTTTGTATATTATTTAAATGGGCAGAGATTTTTGTCAAATTACTGTCTCATAAATCTTGTTATGAGCAATAAATATAGATCTTTAAAAAAAAAAAAAAACATTTATCATAACTGAAAATAGTGAAAATATATAACCAAAACTAGACCGAGTCCCTAACAATAATTGTAAAATGGAGAATTGTAGGTTTTCTTTGAACAAGCATGTTATGGAGCTGAAAATTTATAGCCAGATTTAAAAAAAAAAACACAATATCACAAAAATGTTAACACCTAAAATCCAATGTTAATTACCTGCGGTAAATTCAGGAATGGGCTGCCCTGAATGGGCTCCCCTGGGGAGGTGATGGCACATTTTGAAATATGTATAAAACTCTTTAAAAGCACACTAACTTATTTAAATTAAATTATTATTACTAGACCTGATTGACAACAAATTTCTAAAACTTCAACTTGCTGATTTTAATGAATGTCTTGAAAATTGAAATTATATTTAGCAATTCAAAACATGAAAATCTCCAGGAGAGTGTATGAATTGTTATGGATTAAAATGTATGTTTCAAATCATGAATTGATATTTTGCTCAAATAAAAATATTCAGACTGATGGCATTGATAAATTATATAATCTGAAAATGCAAGTATTCTTGTATCTTGATGCCCTGAAAATTGCTGTATAACAAAAAATTTTAAAAAAGAAAACAATACTATTGACTACAACAGTAACATTAAGTTTTATCCCGTTTGTTATAATATTAATATTTTTTATTGAACACACAAAGTGAGGCATTTTACTTCTTGTGGCAGGAAATATTTTATAAAAATATTTTTTTAAATACCGGGTAGAAGAAATTCAGGAACTTGAGAGAGGCCCCTGGGATATAATCATAAAATGCAAGGCACAAAATTCCATAATGGGCTAACATACGGTACCTCCCATGTTACAATGTCAAACCCTTCCATAGCCCCAGCTTTAAGTAATTAATATTGACCGCCAGGAATAAATAAATATAACCATTCACATGAGATTTTATAAAATGCATCTCTAATAAGCCAATGTCTGTCATATAGGTATGAAGACAACATAACATGGGGAGGGAAAAAAGATCTAGCACTGCTAAGACTGGTATGTTATAATTAACAGTGCAATGAATGAGTGAGAGAGATATGGAGTGGTGCAACTGCACAGGTTTACAGTATTTAGCCCATAAACATATTGAACACAAATCAAAAGGCCTACATGTTCTCTGGTAAATTTTAAAATCTAGGCACATTGCGTTTTTGTTTTCAATATTAAACCAGTTTTTTGGGGGGGAATCTAGCTTTGAATTTGTTTCAAATATCTCTATCCATGGATCTATCAAAGTCTATTCATATACCTAACAAGTTATTCATAAATCTAACAAATTTGTTCATCACAGTAAAACATGAGTCTTACAGATCAAATTTACTATTTCCTCAAATTTGTAACAGATTTTTCAACAAATTTTAATTGGCGAATATGTCTCCCATTGGCAGCCAGATGTTCTTAGAACTTGTAGAGTGATACAAGAGTTCCCCTCCTTGTCCCTGATCCGCATCAAGAAAATTTCTCTCAGCTCCATAACTGACCCAAGTGCGCTTCAGGTTCCCGGCAGACGCCGCCTCTACAAACTTTGATCCTTCACCTGAACGAAAGTACCATAGTGCATTGACGTCATGGTGCTCCGCCAATGTTTTTGTCAAGGCGTCGCCATCCCCGGTGACGATGTTTATGACTCCAGCGGGCACATCAGATGTCTCCAGCACCTGGTCACCCAACAATTATAAACATTTAGTATGATTTTTGTGCAGAATTTTCACTTTAGAATTAGACCTCTTAATTAAATTATGCGTGATGCAACACTATAATGGAAATAGTAATTGGGTCAATCTAAATTTGTTATTGAAAGACTAAAGTACAAACAACAGGCCCTGATGCAACACTATAAAAGAAATGGTAATTGGGTCAATCTAAATTTGTTATTGAAAGACTGAAGTACAACCAACAGGCAGGTGGAAATGTATTAAATATTAACTCAACATACAGAACAATTCCTGATGACTTGATGAATGTAATTTCTTTATATTAGGATATCCTTATAAAAAAATGTAACAGTGCAGAGATTAATGCACATGGATATAATGGGAAGCGACTACAAAGCATAACCAACCTGATGAAATCCTAGAGCTGCCAGGGGATACTTTCCGCTGGGAACGACAATGACAGGATTTCCTCGGGCTATGGCTGGTGCCACAAGGGAAATGAATCCCAGGAAAGGAAAATTCTCAGGACAGACAATACCAATGACTCCAACAGGCTCATTCAACTTTAGAGTTACTCCATAAAATGTTGACTCCTGGATACACAAAAGAAGATACAGTAGAAGTCCGATAATCCGTCACGTTCGGGACCGGCTCGGTCTATTTAGTGTAGGCTTTGCCGTAAAACAAATGTACTTTGTTTTTTTAACTACATACATACATAAATCATAATTATAAGAACAATTAGGTTAATAATTAAACTACAAATACAGTATGCAAATACAACAAAGTTTATTTTACATTTCATATAATGTATGTACACGTACTGTAATGCATATTCCACTTAGATTTTAAAAAGTCACGAATGTCTTTTTGTTTTCTTGACTTTTGGCGTTTAGTATAAAATTTATTTCTAATGATATGGAAATCAATAATTTCTGAAGCACTGTAGCTAGTACTAGCCTCAGCAAAAGAGATAAACTTATTTAGTGATTCTGCAGCTTTCTTAAAGATTTTGAGTAGGCTGAGGGTTTACTACACTGTTGATAATGTCCTCATCGGTTAGTTCTTGTTCAACAGGCTCATTCTCGTCGATTAGAAGCCACTCCTCTACCTCATCTTCAGGCAGGTTTTTCAAGGGATTGTCAGCACTTCAAACGAAATCCAAAACTTTGGTCAGAAAGTCTTGATGGTTTTCTTCCTCATCAGTCTGTAGAGTTAGGTCAGATGCAGGGTTTGCAGCTGGCCAAAGTTTTCTCCAGCATTTTTGGAGTGTTGTATTTTTTACCTGGTTCCAAGATAGTGCAATAGCATAGACGGCACTTTTTTTAAAAATCAGTCACGTCACAGTCGGCATTTAACAGGCCTTGAATAAAAGACCTTCTATAAAAGCATTTAAAATTTTGAATAATCCCTTAGTCCATGGGTTGAATCAAAGATGTTACGTTAGGTGGGAGCAGAGTAGCAACAATATCTCCAGAAACTAACTCATCTACTGGCGGGTGGGCTTTACAATTGTCCAAAAGAAGGATGGCTTTAGTATCTTCTGGTAGACTAAGGCTTTTGAAGGATTCCTTGACCCGAGACATAAAGTGGTGAAAAAAAAGTCTTTAAAGAGGGTGGCAGTCATCCACGCATTTGATTGAGCATCGTATTGGACAGGCAGTGTGTAACATTGTTAAAAGCCCTGGGTTTTTTAGATTTACCTATCACAAAAGGGGTCACTCAGTGGTTTCCAGACGCATTAGCACATAGCAAAACGGTTAATCTGTCTTTGTTTTTTTTTAAACCCCTGGCTGCTTTTTCTCCTCCCCCAGCTGGTGTAGATGTTGGTAAACATCGCCAAAATAGCCCTGTTTCATCAACATTGTAAATCTGTTCAGGTGTTAAATCATTATCAGCCACGATTTTCTCAAACTCGTCTTTGAATTTTTCTGCAGAGTTTTGGTTTGCCGATAGTATATCTCCAGTTACATCAAGCCTTCGAATTTCATGCCGAAACTTAAAGTTTCTGAGCCAACCATCAGAATAATTACATTCACTTTCAGCAACTCCTAAATCTTGGCCGAATTTCTTTGCCTTTTCAACAATCATTGGCCCTGTTACCGGCTTTCCTTCAGAACGTACTGCACTAAACCATTTGAACAATACACTATCTAGCTGTTCCAGTTTTGGTTTTTTTAATGTTTGTCTAGAAGCCAATTTTTCAGTTGTTACCGATTGAGAAGCAAACTTAATTAGTTCATCTTTTTGTTTTTTAATGTCATAAATAGTTGATGAGCCAATATTAAACTCATTCATTAAAACATTTCTATTCCCACCTTTTTCTAGCCCTTTGATGATTTTTAGTTTCTCATTGAGAGTCAGTGTTACGTGTTTTCGTTTCTCTCCTTTTGAACTCGAAGGCTTAGGTTTTGAAAACATGGTCACTGTCCAGTTAGAACGAAACTCACTTTGTTTATAAACAGTTTCAAAAGTTACGTACGTCACTACAGATATACTGTATTACAGTAGAGAGTAGAGACACAGTTTACTGCGATGTGAAAGGACACAAAACAACAATGCACAAAAAAATGGCGAAGACACTTCGTGATTGATTAACTGTGCTGCACTACACCTGTATTTGTTGTGAAGCTGAGAATAGCCGGCCGCTAATTGTTTCCGAACAATACTGAGCGCTTCCGGATGATCCCGAACTACCCTGAAACTTCTGAATAGCTCTCGAGCGTTTTAAAGACACACTTTTGGAGAAAACCAAAATTTTTCAATTTTCCTGAGCGATGCCGGACTATCGAGCATTCCGGTTTGTTGGATGCCGGACTAATGGACTTCTACTGTAGATCGATCTATTTAACTATGTTACCTATGTCAAAAATTTCCAAAGAAATCTCCAATAAAAATATTAAAAGGCTCACTTTTTTAAAAAATTACATCCTGTTATATTTGAAAAAAATAGATATTTTTTTAAAATTTAAGATTATTTTGGAATTATCCTTTTTTTAATGTAAAAAAAAATTATTATATTTACTAAATATTTAAGAAGAAAAATTAACAAAAATTATGGAGTATGTTTTGAGTTGAAAAGAAATTATAATTTAAATAAGTTGTCAAAAATCATCATGAGAAACTCATAAATACAATTCAAAATGGTATTTGCATATTTAAGATAAAATTTAAGAAATCTTCACCTGTACAGAGCCTCCATATTTATCACAGTAAGCAGCCCAGTAAAATAAGCGCTGAATGCTCAGATCGACTTCCTGTGTTGCTTCGCTCTCCGTCTGACCAGTCATAGCAGACAGTAGGCCAACATATTCACTGAATCGTGACTGCAAATTTTCAGCAATGTAGTACATGATCTGTGCTTTTCCGTGGCCCTCTTTTCGACCCCAACTGTGAAACAGCAAATAATAGAACTGATTTTTGAAAGAATATCCTTTCATTATTAGAAAAAGGGTTTCACGTTTAAAAGGCAAGTCATTTTTTTAAAGGTTTGGTCAGAAGTTTGGAAGCTGTTAAAAGAACCTGTAACAACAATAGTAATGATAACAAATTTATGTTTAAAAAAATGTTTTTGTTGAAACTTAAAATGGTGTGAAAATTTTGACTTAAACACTGCAATGAAAGTATGTAGGCCTAATATAATTTATAATATAATATTAATTATACATAAATTAATTCTCAAATGAATCAAAAATTAATTGTTTAATTATAGAGTAAATTAATATTATAAATAATATTATAAATAAAAATTTGTTATTATATCTGCTGCTGTAATATAAAAAAAAGTGACCTATAAAAACCTTACAATGATGCACCTCGAATGCTGGCACTAACTCACCTCCCCGTCACTTTGACGGCTGCCTCGACGGCATTCCTGATGTCCTTCCGGCCACCATCAGGCACGTGTGCAATGACCTCTCCTTTGTAATTGAGAACAGGTAAACTAGCACCCGAGTCAGGTCTCTTCTGACCTCCCCCATAATACAGCTTATAGGTCTTGTCTATTCTACAGGTGACAGCAAGATTAAAGAATTAGTTGGATCTTCAAGATGACAGAGGGCCTAAGAAAAATTTTAAAATATAATTGTTCAAAATTTTTAAATCATCTGTTAATAAGATAACTTAACGGACACGACCTTTCTTGAGATCAAATTTTTTATAACCTAATCCTTACACTTACTTTCTAACATTTCTTACTTTGAATTTATCTTCCTTTTTTTTCTTCCTTTTTTTAAAAGTCACATAGGCACTAAATAGCATTGAAAGGGCAGAGACTAATTTGGGTGTTTCAGAGGAGGCAATGAAGTCTTGCCAGAATTCCCTTAAACATAATCAACAAAGCAATTCAGATAAACAAATAAAATCTGTTGTTAAAACTAAATTCCCACCCTGGTGATTCCCCAGAAGCTGAGGCACTTGGCAACAGGTCTGAATTTGATGCTGTTCCAAATTTATTTATGTCCACATTTACATTTTGAGGCTTCTGCAAATTTTGCCATGTTGGAAGAACATACTCAAACAGGCTCTGAAATAAACAAATTTTATTGGCTTGTCACCTTTTTTTTTGGACCTGCTAAACATGCAGCTGATTATACTTTATGTGGAATGTTTCATCTTTTTTTGTCATGAATCTTAAAGGAAGAAAAAACATTTTTTTAAATCAAACTTGTGTATGATGATAGAGCCTTTAAAGAATACAAGTCCCTTGGGCATAATGTGAACTGTCTGATTTTCTTTGGTCTCATAAAACGTTCCCAGGGCAACAAGTTTATTAACATAAAAATAATTTTATCCAGCACACTTTGAAGACAAAGGCATGACACTGTTTGAGAAGCACTGCCAAAGATTTTTCTTTGAAAGATTATGAGCATAGACTGAAGAAAATAAAGACATCTATTTTTGTATCTCTAACCTCTTTGCCTCCACTTCTTCCAAATCCACTAGCCTTGCAGCCCCCCACTCCAGCCGCTGCATCAAACAGGTTGTGAGCATTCACCCAGACGGTGCCAACCTGGAGCTGGCTGGCAACCTCCAGCGCCACACTGAGATTCTCTGTCCAGACGCTGGCAGATGTACCATACACTGAGTGGTTTGCCAGAGTTATCCCCTCTTTCACTGTGCGGAACGGAATAGCTGTCACCAGCGGTCCAAAAAACTAAAATAAATTTGCAATATGGTTACTTATAAGAAAGAAAAGAAAGAGTAACTCAACTATTCTTAAGATGGTGATTATCCAAAAGACTTTTTCCCTCTTCATCACTTTGTAATGTAGATCGACATTAAATTTGCCCCACTCAAGACAGAAAAGTTTTTATCAAAATTAATCCAAGAACTATTACTATTTAACTTTCTGTCTGTGTTATTGGCCTTTTCTTCATTTATTTTTAAAATTTCATTGCGTACATTCCACAAATATTTTAAGGATTTTATAAGCTCTTCCCCACCCCTTACTACCCCTCACCCCACCCTACAAAAATTGAAGGAAAAAATTACATAAATATCAGATATTAATGCTAACAGAATAAAATAAGAATGTATGTGTTGGCTTGCACTTATTGCCATTGACATATGAAGGCAGACAGCTGGCCACAAATTCAAAATAGGAAATCATGTGATATTTTTTCTCTCTTAGAAAATACTCACTTCCTCCAAGTAGACCTGAGAAGATGTTTGAATGTTGTAGATCAAAGTTGGCGGGAAATAGTTGGCTTGATCTGAAGTCACCAAGTTCACTTGGAATTTCTGTGAAGTAAAAAAAAATAAGTCATGAAAAATATATAATAATGGTTTTCAATTTAAATAATGATGGTAAAGAAAATAACCGAGTTAAAATCCTAGAAACAATACTTTTAAAGTCTTTGTATACTTAAGAGCTCACAGGTGACATAGTTAGGGATATTTATATAAATAAGGCAGACCTTTTTAATTCTTTTTATCGTGAAAAGGTCTCAGATCAAAGCTTCAAATCAGGTTATATCTGAGAAGAATCCTACCTCACCCCCATGGTCACCATCGACCAGCTGTTTTAGCTGTTGACACAACTGTGGGTCTGTGAGAGGGCCCAAGTCATTGTTCTTCTCCATGTTATTTCCCACAGTCAACTTTGACATCCGGGCCTTCAACTTTTCTATCAGTTGCGTCTGCACCAACTCTTGGATTAAAAGTCTTGATCCTGAATGGTTTGACTAGCAAACATAGAGCAAAACGTAAATTCCATTAATCAAGACGTTACCATCTCCCATCTGCAGCTGTTGATCAAATAACTATGTGTAGTTTTTATGTAGCATTTAATAATAACCCTTTCATTTATTAATGTTTAAATTTAATTTCAAGAAGTAAATTAAATAAATTGACTGCAGGGTATCACGTTGGACAAACTGTCACAAAATATATATATATATATATATTTTAAACATCACTTTGTATCTCAGCTAGAAAAAAAAAAGGATAGAAATATAAATTTTAAGAAAAAAATGATTTTGGTGTTAAGATGTTGTATGTTAAAATTCTAAAGTTCCTTCAACCGGTACCGTGCAATGAGTCAACTACTATTTCTTACTTGGCCATTATTGAAAAATGCTGCCTCTACAATCCCCTCCACCGCACTGTCAAGGTCGGCTTCTTCAAACACCAGGATTGGGCTGCGACCTGATAGTTCCAGTGACAAACTCTTACCAGTCCCTGCAGTCAGTTTCCTAACGCCCCTGCCGTCCTGTCATATTGATTGTTAAATCTATTTATAATCTCATGACAAGAGCAAATTCTAATACATACAGAGCAAGTATTTCAATACTTTTCTTCAAACCGATTCCAAAGGCTTCAAAAATCTTTCAACAAGTGTTTGTATGCATCCAGTGACATATCCATAAAACCACACTGAAGGAAACAAAACACAAACCACTAGGCTACTTTACAACATGCATTTAAGGTATTTTCTTTTATTTGTTTGAAAATGGGAAAAGTCTCCAGTCAGTATGGTCATTACAGACACATGAAGGGTAGATTTTGTGTTGAAAAAACTATTTCGAAATTGCCATTATTTAAAATTGTTAGATTAATATGAATATTTTTTTATGTCTCTATCTCTTTTTTTACTTAAAATGTTGAAATTTAATAAACATAATGCAAAAAAAAAAAGAAAAAAAGACATTTGTTTATCAATTTAAAAAATATTTCTTTTCATAAATTACTTTGTTGTCAATCTCATCATAATGAAAAATATGTAATTCATGAGTGAACAAACATATTATTAAATTTTGGATTAGTGAGCTGACAGAGGGGCATCCCTCTGTGATCACTTACATCAACAGAGCCAACAAATACGACTTTATCCACATCAGGGTTTGAAACCAGCAAACGGCTATCAGACCCAGTCACTACATTAACTACACCACTCGGCAGCCCAGACTGAATGCAGATCTCTGCAAAGAGCAGCGCACTCAGGCGTGTCTTTGATGAAGGAAAGACGATGACAGTGTTCCCTGTGGCCAGAGCTGGTGCTACACGGCTGGCAAGATGCATCAGAGGAAAACTCCAGTGGGAAATAACCGCTGTTACGCCTGTTATAAAAAAAAAAAGTTTAATGTAAATGCAGATATTCCTTGCATAAATCTACAACAAAATTACATTCTTCAAAACAATGCTTTTATGTAAGTTGGATTGAATCTTATAGGAACGATTTTCCTTTACACATTTATTCTTAATTATGTCCTTTCATATGAAATAAATGAGCTGGAGGGCTTACTTATTAACATTCTCTCTAAAGAAGCTGAGTGTTACAGTGAACATAAAAAAACACCAGAAAATCCCATCACTTGGGCAGGCATTTTTTATTTTACTGTATTTAATCAATATTGTAATATTTTTAAATAAAATTATAAGGTTACAATTATAAAGTTGATAATGACCTTTATGAATTATTTTGAGATAAATCATTTATTTAATTGATTTGACTATGATTGTACTGATTATATTATATCCTACAGATGTTTGCCATGAGATCATTGTAACTGTTGATGTTTCCTGATGTTGCCTTTTTGCTATAAGTAGTTGCCTGGGTGTATTGGAGATTATGTTCCATCATAAGTTAAATTAGGTGTATTTGGGACTAATATAAAGTATGAACATAATAGCTATAAAAGTTTCTTTTGAATTATGTATAACATCACCAGTGTATAGCATCACAAGTGTGAAACATCGCAAGTGTATGTTATTAAAGTAATTAAATCTTTTTGCTCATAGCCCACTACCTGCCTGGCCCCTTCCCCAGTAGGTAATTAAAATAAAAATTTGCTTTTTTGATACAACTTAAGCCCTTGTTTAAACTATTTGTGGCCCCAAAGAAATATGCTGGGGTCCCCTGGGGGGAGCCAAATATGGCTCATGTCAAGAAACAATGTCTTAAGATAGCAAAGTGGTTACAATGTACCCTTAGACCAACGCCTAAAATCAAAGACTGTTCTTTATTACACTGAACTGTTAAAAGAAATTTAGATACTGGTACTAGATTATTTAACAATTTAAACAGAAAAACAGTTTAACACATACCATAAGGTTTCCAGCCAGACAACTCTGTATCTTTGAGTTGTGCCCATCCAGCGTGATGGTAAAACTGTCTAATAATGGCTGGAATGTCAACACCTCTTGTCTCTCTAGTTGGCTTCCCAGAGTCAATAGCCTCTACTATAGCGAGCAATGACTGGTTTTTCTGCAAATTTCTTGCAATGCTGAGAAATTTAAATGGTACAATTAAAGTAACAGATTCAAGCATTTTTTTCAAATAATAAAATTCACATCCTACAATTCACTTGTGAAGGATTATTTTATTATGGATACATAGTGCAGATGTATATGTGAATATAACATGAACATAAATGTTACTATTTAATTTGATAAATCCCTTGATTTAAGAATATTTATTCAAATTTTAACTTATTTCATCACTCCTACAGAGTCTCTTTTATGTGAAACCTGGACGCAGTAATGATTATTTTATAGATAATATGTATTAAAGTGAAGTCAAGACAGGAAAAGAAAGAAATATAACAAAAATGTATTCTTGTGAACTCTAACATAAGTAGTCAGGTTTTGATCTAAAACGATTAACAGCTACTTTTATAAAAATCAACACAGTGTCATTAGGGGAAAAAAATAGAGAAAATGTTTGTTTTTAAATCCACAGCTTTATTTTCAAATTACACTTTCGGTATCACAGTAAATATATCAGGCCAGGATAGATCAATCAAGGATTATAAGATTAGAATGACTAAATATACAAGAAAAGTTGTCTGGAATCCTTTTTGTAACACTTGAGGTTATTGGGAGCCTATTCTCTGAAGGGCCAAATGATTTTTAATCAACCAATGATAAAATTAAACTTGTGTAAAATCAAAATTTTTAATAGGTGTGCTCTAAGATAAATGTTTTTCAATCAGTACTCAATAATACCTGTATAAGTAGCGAGACCTGACGTGAGGGGCTAGACTGCTCCATGTCTTGAAAGCTTCTTTGGATGATATGACAGCATTCTTGATGTCATCTTCTGTTGCCTCAATAGTTGTAGCCAAGACTTTTCCTTTAAAACAACATAAAGATGTTACTTCTGACCGTAATCTGAACTCCAGTGTCAGCTTTGATTATAATAGCTTGTGTACCATTGATAAAGCTTAAAGTAATAGAAATGTCCCACTTGTTCAATGTTTATAATTTATAAGAACACAGAGCCATTTGAAAGGTAATTTAATTATTTGTTGTACCTGTAATAGTATAATAAGACATCAACTCGGGGCAGCGGTCTGTGCAACAACTAACCTTTATTCTCCATTCTTTTTACACCCCACATTACATGACCACTCACTCCAGTTCTCAAACCAATATTCATACATTTAATTTTAAACATACATGAAAAAAACTCAACACTTCCAGTCATACAACATGACAACATCACAGCACTATCAGATCACAAAGTTCAGTCACTCATACTGTCGCAGTACCTGTAGCTGGATTCTTTGATTCCTTTGTCTGTCTGCCATCTGGGTAGACCCATTGGCCATTGATATATAATCCAAAACTTTTGTTATTCTTTTCCAACCAATTCTAGCATGAAATGAGAAATTAAAATATAAGAGATAAGCCTTTATAGCTGGATCATTTAAAATTTGACCAGCCAAACCAGAGATATTATAGTTACACTACACATCACTAAACCACACACACAGAGAAGTGAAATTAAAATATCAACCAGACTAGAGTAAGCTAAAATTAAAAAGTTATTCATAAGGAAAAGTCTACTATTATTATAAGTACGGTATTCAACTAGTATAGATATAGATTTGTAATAGTAGAGGTGCCACAAGTATCCCCCCCCCCCCCTGGGCAAATCTATTGGCCAAAATGGAAGGGGAAAAATAATAGTAAAGGGGCCAAAAGAAACCCCCCCCCCCCCCTGGGCCAATCTATTGGCCAAAATTGAATGGGAAAAAAGACGAAGGGCTGATCCATTGGTCCAGTAATACAAACTTGTACATTGGCTGTAATCATATCACTTCTCACAATTTTGTTTATATTTGTAAAGTAATAACTTAATTTTTTTCATAAATTATTTTGCAAATTTCTAGGCTTATAACACCACCCATATTGGAGTGAATCTGCACTCCAATGCCTTATTAAGGGACCACCCATAAATGGTGTCATCTTCACAAAACTTTGACTAAACTCAAGACACCTTCATACGGCATTGTCACTGTGACGCCCACTCTATATTTCCTGTAGGAAGGAAATTTCAATTGATGATGTAAAGTTTTTTTTATCAATAATCAATGTAGTAATTAATATGATCATGGAGAAATGTATCCTCATTTGAATTTGAAAAGAGGGAATTTCAGACCCACTACACTTAACTACAAACACAAGTCGTGGTATCACCAGGGCTGGTGTCACCCCTTTCAGATTTTCCCATGGACCTCCCCAGAGTCTCCTAGCTCTGTTGGCACCCTGCTCTGTTGGCACCCTGTTCTGATGGCACCCTGCTGTGGTGGCACAATGCTCTTACTCTTGTATTTAACTTCTATCTGCCCTGAAACTGACCTTGATCCAGCTCTGTCAAATTGACAATTCTCCAATTTGTGTCATCCCCCTGGTTCTGTCCACACACACTTAAAACGCTATTGCTCTGTGCCTGGGAACATGCATGTGTAGTGAAGGGGTAGTTTATCATTTATAATATTGGTATGTATGGAATATGGGGTAGGGAGGTGCCATCAGGTGGTCCCAAATGTCAAAGTCAAAATAAAGTACTAACTAACTCTTAAGTCCGGGCTAAGAAGAAGATGCTAAGTCCAAGTCACTCTGACGAACTTACTCAGGGGGTCTCAAACTCAAATCATCCGGTGCCGCAGCAGGTAGAGTCTGAGTGAAACTGGGCCGCATCAAGTATTCCACAAAGGCAATTACAAATTCAATAAACTGTTACAATCTGCTCAACCTTTATTAATAACAAATAAAAACATTAAGGGTTCTCAAGAACTAGGCTTCACTTTTTTCTTCCTACTCCTTGTTGCCAGATACCTGGCAGCGCTTCTTCTTACTCAGTTGAGCAACATTTTGCTTGAGGTAGAGTCTGAGTGAGACTGGGCCGCATCAAGTATTCCACAAAGACAATTTCAAAGTCAATAAAGTACAACTGTTACAATCTGCTCAACCTTTATTAAAAACAAATAAAAACATTAAGGGTTCTCAAGAACAAGGCTTCACTTTCTTCTTCCTTCTCCTTGTTGCCTGACACCTGGCAGCACTTCTTCTTACTCAGCTGAGCAACATTTTGCTTGAGTGGGGAAGCAACTGACTCCTGAGACACTCACTTAACAGGAAGATGCTCATCAGTAAGTTTGACCCTGAACTTTGACTTGTTAAAGTTCATAGTGGAAAAGAGCTTTTCACACAGATAGGTACTCCCAAAAAGGCACATGTTTCTTTTAAACAACCTGGAAATCTGAGGTAAGGTGGAGGGCAATTCATAAACTGTCCATTCTTGTCTGTCTGTTTTTTCCATTCACCTCCCTGAACTTTGCCTTGAGTTCAGAATTGCACTGAAGATCAATCTGCTCCATTTGGAGCGCAAAAAGGGGGGGGGGGGGGCGGGGCGCATCTTCCACATTAAAGGAGAAGGAGTCAGCACTGATTTTAAAAGTGGCTCCAAATAGCCCCAAATCACAGACCTAAGAATTGCACTGAAGATCAATCTGCTCCATTTGGAGCGCAAAAAGGGGGGGGGGGTCGGGGCGCATCTTCCACATTAAAGGAGAAGGAGTCAGCACTGATTTTAAAAGTGGCTCCAAATAGCCCCAAATCACTGACCTGGGTCCCTTAGACTAAATGCCATTCGGATGTCATTTATTTTGTGGTAGCTTATTTTTTGTTAAACTGAAGAAGTAAGTTTACAAACCTATAGTCCATTCAATTATCTTTCATTTGATATCAAATTTTGTCTTACAAACTCAACAAAAATATTTTAAATACTTTTTAATAAACCCAACTCCAACCTCTCACTCTTACTCTTACTCTTGAATCCAGGGGCCGAATAGCCGCAGCCTATACTACTACTACTATACTTAACTTATATTATATGTAATTAGGCCTAGTATTAAGTTTGTGTTATCGTTACCAATGCTACATTTTCTGCATCTAATGCTGATCCATATGATAGGTCTCCCAAAATGTGTCCAGCATTTCCGTCTGTAACTATCCCTGCCATAGTTGTACAAATTTTTAAGACAGGCTGGTGGGAAAAAAAAGGTCGAAGTGCAAAAGTCACTTGATTCTCAGGAGGGTCATATTCATGACCGAGATACAAGATTTATTCCAGATAAAATCTTTTGAACGCTTGAGTTTACTCTTAATTCTGTTTTTGTAAAGTGATTATTGTACAAATCAATTAAACTTTAAAGAAAATGTTTGTTTTTTTAATTGTGTGCTTGGGCAATCTAAAATCTAAATAATTTATTTTCGTTTTAACTTCAATTGCGAGAGATAAACTTCTTTAAATAACATAATAATTAATATTAATAGCATACTATAATTTAATAGTTTCTCATGTATTCAATAAAATTCTAAAACTAAAAAGATACTTTAGTAATTTAATTATTAATTAGGACGTATTTAACAGTCCTACATTAAGAAGACAATGTCAATTAAACTAGGGTTTCAACCTGGATCCCGGACAATGTTTAGTGGACAGAGTCAGAGACTTACTTGGAATTTCAACCTAATCCGGGCTACAGACGTTTAGCATACAATTTTCTGTTGTTTTTTCTTCATTCTCATATTATCACCCATTGAAACTTAATATAAGCTAGTACAAGTAAAATAAAGTTAATCACGCTGAATTATTAAACTTAGTAGCTTTCGCACAAAGGTTCTCAAGTGTTTTCAGGTCACGATCAAAGTGATATATTGAAGAAAGACGTTAAAAACACAAACTAGATTTAAATGTACAATATAAATGTAGTTAATGAGATATATCATACCATGGTTGAAATTGTAACTCAAACTTTTAGGCATATTTTTTTAAACGTTTGAAAATCAGAATTTCTCTTAGTCTATTGTTAAAGCTTTCATAATCGCAAATAAAAATAAGGTCACTTTCGACTTGCAGTTGCAGTATTACCAAAAAATCATTACTCGTTTAAAAAAACAATAAAAACACATAAAATACGCTTTAAATATATATATTTTTAAAAAAATGTTTATTGAGTTTTCATTACCACCAAGATTTCCATTTATCCCATTTGGGATATTTTACCACCGATTTGTCGACAACTTTTGTACATGATCATAATACATCCCTGCTGACGCGGCAGTAGCTAAGCTTTAATTATGACTAACAGAATCACGCATTTTTCTATTTTCCCTTTTTTTTTTCATTTCTTTCCATTTTCCTTTATTTATTATCATTTCTGGGGTCTCCCATGTGTCTGTTTCCGGGGGGGAGGGGGATGTAAACCTCACTCATTTCCTATTCCACTGGGTGTAAAGGGACGACCGCCGCGAAAAGGGGGGGGGGGATTTTGGGGGAGACCTAACATTATATCAATCTATGTGGTGTGGGTGTGTTGGGGAGCGAACTTTTGTCAGCAATTGTATACAAAGAATGTTTTAGTACAACTCAAAGTGACTCATATTAAAGTAAGAGATAATGTTCGAGGTTAGGCCCCAACATATCGACTGCTTAGGCTCATATTAAAGTAAGAGATAAGGTTCGAGGTTAGGCCCCAACATATCGACTGCTTAGGCTCATATTAAAGTAAGAGATAAGGTTCGAGGTTAGGCCCCAACATATCGACTGCTTAGGCTCATATTAAAGTAAGAGATAAGGTTCGAGGTTAGGCCCCAACATATCGACTGCTTAGGCTCATATTAAAGTAAGAGATAAGGTTCGAGGTTAGGCCCCAACATATCGACTGCTTAGGCTCATATTAAAGTAAGAGATAAGGTTCGAGGTTAGGCCCCAACATATCGACTGCTTAGGCTCATATTAAAGTAAGAGATAAGGTTCGAGGTTAGGCCCCAACATATCGACTGCTTAGGCTCATATTAAAGTAAGAGATAAGGTTCGAGGTTAGGCCCCAACATATCGACTGCTTAGGCTCATATTAAAGTAAGAGATAAGGTTCGAGGTTAGGCCCCAACATATCGACTGCTTAGGCTCATATTAAAGTAAGAGATAAGGTTCGAGGTTAGGCCCCAACATATCGACTGCTTAGGCTCATATTAAAGTAAGAGATAAGGTTCGAGGTTAGGCCCCAACATATCGACTGCTTAGGCTCATATTANTTATTTCCCCTTACCATGCACCCCATCGTTTTCTCGCCAACAGAACGTCCTCGGTAGATTTCCATAATTTCAGAGTGAAACTACGGCTTGTTTCGAGCGATCAACATTATGATAACAATACTCAAATTCAAATAAATTATCTGCATGGCATCGATTTTTGTTTTGCTTAGTGATAGTCCCCACACAAAGGGATTCTCATATTACTATTAGGGAAGCGTTATTCACACAGCTCTGTGAATAACGTTTAGCGTTATCGGCAGACCGAAATCTGTGAATAACGGCGAGCGTTATCCACACAGCTCTGTGAATAATGTTTAGCGTTATCGGCAGACCGAAATCTGCGAATAATCATATAATGCATTAGATCTAGACTGGTGAAAAATTATTGTTGGATGTAGGCTATTAATATTGGGGTTGAAATGGCTAGAAAGACTTTGCAATTGTATGCTAGTAATTAGTTTTTGTAGTGTTGCGTTTGTTTTAAATGTGGTAAATTATAGATTTGTATTTTGTTGACATTGTATCGCGCTTCGAGCCTTTGGGGATGAAGCGTGTTTTTGAAATGAACTTCATTATTATTATTATTATTAATATTAATATTACTATTAGTATACTGAACCGTCATGAGTTATTATCGAATTTTTTTCACTATCAATTATAAAAAA